CTTTCTTTCAGCTAAGATCCATCTAACATTAGCTACAATATCTCTAGTATCAAGACCCCTTCTAAACCCAGCCTGGACGTCTGGCAGTTCTCTGCTGATGTGTTGTTCCAGTCATATTTGGATAATCTTCAGTAGAATCTTGCTTGCATGTGAAATTAATGATGCATGAGACCTTTTCAAAGAGAGGAGAATAGATTTAAGTACCTACGTTTCGGTATCTTATTTGGGCAGAAAGAATGAATGATTGGCTGTGATACTGAGATCTTTAAGGAACGAGCTGGGCCCCAGGTTATTACTGAAGTAAGATGTTGTTCATGAGGCTGCCTCCTATATTTTTAGTCACCAGGTCTTGATCAAGCCAAATTCAGAAAGTCTCCCTCATTTACTCTGAGCTCCCCATCTTCACCACTGCTGGAACTCAATAATCGCAGTAACCTCAGTGATTCTTTTCGCTCAGCTTTCTCTGTCTTCTAGGCCTTAGTCTACTTGGTTTCCAGATTCGGTTTTCCTTTCTAAATTTTTGATCATACAGCATTTCCCTTATTAAAGATACATGACTCCTTAACATTTTCAGTGTGATGTTTAAGCTCCTCAAAGTGGTTTTCAAATCATTCACTCTCTGGCTACCCTCAACAAAGCTTTTGAGCCTCATCAGTCTCTTTATTGTAATTTGAGTGAAAGTTACAAAACAAATTAATATCCATTCCTCCATTCATCCTTGAACCTCATCTCTTATCCAGATGCGTGTAATCTAAGTGAGGCTGTCCGAGGTTCCTAACATGTGCCCTCTGGGGTCCCATGCTCGTGTTCACACCCGTTCTTGTATTGTGCTGCTGCTACTGCTTTTTCCCTGATGAGATTTCTTCCAGTCATTCTTTTGTTTTTGTTATAAAAATACACATAACAAAACATTTGCCAACTCAACATGTTTCAAGTGTAAGCTTTAATAATATCAGTTACATGAAGCATGTTGTGCAACTAACACCCATGTAAGGTGCCGTCAAGCCAACTACGACTCATAGCAGCGCTGTGGACAGAAGATTGAAGCTTCGCCGGTCCTGCACCAACCATGTGATCTCCTTCTGCCATGCTCAGTGCTGTCCAGCTGGAGGGGTTCATCTTTAGGCTGTGTCCTGAGCAAATGTTATATTCATGGGCCTGTTTCAGAAGTGGATGGCCACTCTTGCTTTTTAATCTGGAAGCTCTGCTGAAACCTGTTCACTGTAGGTGATTCCAGTTTTTTAAATACTAATGGCATAGCTCCCAGCATCATAGCAACATGTGAGTCATCACTGTATGACAGACAAGTGGTGGGCCCTCATCCATTGCCATTGCCAAATTCCCCATTGCCACTAGCCGATACTACTTCCCAAATAGTGGTTCGTCTTTCTCCACTCATTCTAACGTGGTTTTCTTGTGAATTTCTTTCACTACTAACCCTCTTAATTTCTTGGCCTACTGTGGTGGATGTGGGTGCCACTAAGTCAACTACCACTCATAGCAGTCCTTTGATTTAGAAATTCTTCAATGCTGTGATCATGCCTCTGCAGAAGTTGTTCATACCCTCTTCACTGCGTGGTTGTATATCTGCCTAGACATCCGATTATGTGCTGTTCCGCATCTCTAGAAAACTATAACCATTGCTGTCAAGTAAATTTCAACTTATGGAAACTCTATAGCATAGAGTAAATTTGCCCTATAGGTTTGCAAGGCTTGAATCTTTAAGGAAATTGACTGTCATGTCTTTTTCCCATGAAGTGCTAATGGGTTCGAACTTCCAAGCTTTATGTTATTAACCAGGCACTCAGATCTCTCCTTCCTACCAAGTATATAGTAAAAGCCAAAGAAGTCTTAGAAAAACATTCCAGTTAAAATGGTAAGCCTTGTTATGGGACCCTGTGTGATGTTCCAAGTGGAATTTAGTTAATGAATATTTATTGAATTCCCTTCTCTGTGCCAGTCACTAATAAAAATGAAACAGAAAGTAAGTTAATAATAGTTCTTGCTCTTTTGGAGTTTAGCAATTAATGAGACAGAAAAGCCAAGCAAACAGATTATCTTAGCTTCCCTCATCCAATATAGCTAAATAATGTTTCCATGTGTCCAAGGATACTTCCCAGTTTTTTACTTGCTTCTTTTCTTCTTCTCTTTCTCAGTGTTAGAGATTGATTTTGCAGAGTTAACCTTGGAAGAGATCATCGGCATCGGGGGCTTTGGGAAAGTCTACCGTGCTTTCTGGGTCGGGGATGAGGTTGCTGTGAAGGCGGCTCGCCATGACCCGGATGAGGACATCAGCCAGACCATAGAAAACGTTCGCCAGGAGGCCAAGCTCTTTGCCATGCTGAAGCACCCCAACATCATTGCCCTCAGGGGAGTGTGTCTGAAGGAACCCAACCTCTGCTTGGTCATGGAGTTTGCTCGAGGAGGGCCTCTGAATAGAGTGTTATCTGGGAAGAGGATCCCCCCAGACATCCTGGTGAACTGGGCTGTGCAGATTGCCAGAGGGATGAACTACTTACATGATGAAGCAATTGTCCCTATCATCCACCGTGACCTTAAGTCCAGCAACAGTGAGTACGAAGGGATGGGGCTGGAGAAGTTTAGAGTATTTCCACACTCAGTCCATTGCTGTGGTTGTGCAGTCAGTTCCTCGTGGAAGCCTAGTGAACCATAAAATGCCTTGCTTGAAAGTATGCTGTCCATGAGTTGAGATATGGGAGTGCAGTGACGGTCAGGGCAACATATATATCTTTGCTTTCATTGCTATTTAGTTAGTACCTACTGACCCTCCAGTGGGTTGTGCATAAGAGGAGATTTCCATATTTTCCTCACAGGGTGGAGGCAGCTTGTGAGAGAATTCTGATCTATTTACAAGCAAAATTGGGAATGTGTAATTCTGATGTACTGTGAAGTCAACCATACAGATTTCTTTTTTCCCCTCAAGTTAAGTGTGTATATGACCACAAAAGAATTTTTTTTTCTCTTGAATGGAATAGTTGGTGAAACAAACCTCTATAATACATTTGGAATTCAATATAAACCCTCCAAATTGAGATAGTCCCAAAGAAAGGACTTCGAGAAGAAAAGGCACATCGTGTAAGTTTTCAGGCTGCCTTAAGTGGTGATGTTAATTAGAGCTGACCTGATTGATAGTTCTACAGGCCTTCTGGTAGCCCAGAAGTGGGATGGATTAATTATCATAACTGCTTGGTGTTTAATACCCAGAAATTGAGAAGTAACTGTTCCTCAAACATCCCAGAGCCCATAAACTGGATTGTAAAACAAGTGTTAGATGTAATTACATGGTAGGTTGGTAGGAACCTCAGTCTCATCGTGGCTGAATCAGTAGGGCCTGAAAGTTTGCTTCTTCAGGATAGTCATTTTTGCTGTCTTGCCCAAATTGAATGGTAGAGAGAAACTGGTTTCATCTCGTGTATGCTTAACATCACTTTGAGTGTCTTCTCCCAGAGAGGAAAGCACTTGAGTTGAAGGACTTTGTGGGTGATGTGGGCACTGAAGACTTCACTTTCTTTAGATCACTTGGCTGTGAGCCCAGACATCCTTCAAACTTTGTTTTGTTCTGAGCTATTCCAGATGCTTCCTGTTCTGTTGATGCTATTGTGATCTACTTGCTTTTGAAAAATACCTTTTTGGAATATTTCAAGTAATTAAGTGTTCATTGTAGAAAAATTTGAAAATAAATATAAACAGAAGAAGAAAAAGATAACCTATTTTGTTTTCCTTCAGTGAGAGTAACTATTACATTTGACATAAACTTCTAGAAATTTTTAAAGTCTGTGTGGTGTGTATATATATATACACATATTTATATGCTTGTATGTATTTCTATACACTCACACACACATATCACTGTAGCAAAGGATGTAAGAGTGTCAGAGCTAATGCGGATGGCACAGGACCGGGGACCGGGTTCAAGTCTGTTGTTCACAGGATTGATATACTTGACTCAGTGGCACCTAACACCACCACCACCACCGTAACAATATATATGTGTATGTATGTGTGCGTACATATAAATAGCACTCTGATTGCTCGGTCTGTAGGGATTTGCTTTGTTAACCCAAAGGTGATCTCTCTCTGACTGTTCACATCTAACAGCCACTTCATGGGAGAAGAAGTCTCTTTTCATAAGATTTACATTGAAAATCTGCTCGAGGGTCCACTGTGAATCACTTTGAACTCTTGGCAGCAATGAGATGATCTTTTTTCTTTTTTCTTTCTTTTTTTTAAATTTTATGCTGGTTTACTTACAATGTTTGTATGTATTGTTTTTCATGCCAGATGTCTTTTTTTAATGTGCTTGCCATATGTATGTGTGTTTATATAGTATATATAATATATGGGCTTGAGTGTCCGATATTATGAGGATGGCATGGGATAGAACAGTGTTCAGATCGGTAGTTCATAAGGTTACTATGAGTTGCACTTGACTCAATGGCACCTAACAACAACATATATATCTTTGCTCTTCTTGTTATCTAGTTGGAACCTACTGACCGTCGAGTGGGTTTTTGCATGTGAGGGGGTTGCCATAGTTTCCTCACAGAGTGGCTGGTGGATTTGAACCACATACATTTGGGTTGGCAGTGCAACTCCTTACCTAGTAGGCCATCAGAGCTTTATATATATATATATTTTCACATGCAGATATAAAACACATAGATTTATAAAAACACAAATACATACATATTTCCACAAATATTGTTGTTATTGTTGTTGTTGTTGTTATGTCCACAAATATACTTTTCAATTTACTTACGCATTTTCATTGTTGTAAAATGCATTACATACAATTGCTGTTTTAGTCATTAAGTATATAGTTTAATACCATTCATTATCTTCACAGTAGTTTACTTTTAGTTAGTCTTTATCACCCTTTTGTCTACGATCTCTTCTTCATTAATAGAAATATTTACCTTTGCAAGAGTTTTGATTACTAGATACATGTTTTGATATAATGAATGTGAAGGACTTAAATGATATAGAATGAAAGTTATTCTTTTCCTTTACCACTATCCTATTTGTTTACTGTTATTCCTCCAAAAATTCTTTTTTGAAAATGTATTAAAGAAATGAAAACTTTTGATAACCTCTTCCCAAAATAATTGTTATCTAGGGCCTACTTTGGATAATAGGGTGAAAATAAGGAGTGATAGGAGAGGGAACCGTGATAGAAAAGCTGAAATTTCTCTGTTCTTTTTCTGGAGAAGTATGCACATAATGGGGTTCGTTTAGATAGTTGGTTAGGATAATGGAATTGTGCAAGGTAATAATTTCCTCTGGGATTTTTTAGATTTGAGTGTAATTGCAGATATACATGGGGGATTTTACCTTTTATAAGGTTTACAGTTGAGAATCTAGACTCTGCACAAAGAAAAGCTCTTTGCCAAGGCTCTGCTGTTTGCAGGAGGTGCCAGGAGACCTGAATGACATTTTTTCATTCACCGAACAGAGCCTTGATCCTTTCTTTGCCCTTCAGTGCATTTTGAGGTATGCTAGTGGGGCAAAGGTGAAGTCTTCAGCTGCTAACAAAAAGGTTGGTGGTTCAGACCCATTGAATGACTCTGTGGGAGAAAGACCCCACAATTTCTTCCCATAAAGATTATTGTTGTTATTCTTAAGTCTTTCCTCACTTAAGGGGACCTGATGCTCAGCAGAATGAATCCCTGCCTGGTCCCTGCCATCCTCACAGTAATAAACCCATTGTTGCTTCTGTCATTCTTGCTTGTGGAAGGTCTTCTTTTCCACTGACCTTCTACTTTCCCAAGCATGATATTCTTCTCAAGGATTGGTCCCTTTTTGGTGCCCCAAGGATAGGAGATGGAGTCTCACCATCCTTGTTGCTAAGGAACATACAGGTTATAATACTTTCAATATAGATTTGTTAATTCTTCTGTCAGTTGGTTGTATATTTAATATTCCTTGCTCGTATCAGGATTCAAAGGCATCAGTTATTCAACTCAGAAAACCTCCACTCCTTGCTGTCAAGTTGAAATCAACTCATAGGTGAAATTTCAGCAAATTTTCAGAGGCTGTAAAACACATGGAAGGAAATTGTCCATCTTTTTCCTGCAAAACAGCTGGTGGACCTGAAATGCCTACCTTTGGGTTATCAGCACAAGTCCTTACCCACCAGGTCACCACAGCTTCCCATATAAGGTAGTGTTTAGATTATTGAAGTGCCGTCATAGACAGGAGACAGAAAAGGGAACTCCGAAGTTGAACACAGAAGGATGAGACTTTGCTTTTATCTCTTACGTTTTAGTAATTATTGAGCTTTCACATGCAATATGAGCTGATTGAAAATACCATGGCTCGAACCAGGTGCTCCTCTTAGTCCTCATGGTGACAGCTTGGCTTTTCATGCTTTAAAGAGGTTTTTGTACAGCAGATGTTGTTTGGTTTCTTGACTGTTGATTCCATGAGTATTAATTGTCGATCCAAATAAAATGAAGTCTTTGACACTTTAGCAATTTTTTCCATTTATCATGGTGTGTAGTTGTTCAGTTGTGAAGATTTTTTACATTTATGTTGAGGTATATTCCATACTGAAGGCTTCAGGCTCTCTTCACTCTGTGCAAGCGAAGTTGTTTGCATATAACAGGTTGTTAATCAATCTTCCTCCAATCCTGATTGGATTGCATTCTTCTTTATCTAAGCCAGCTTCTGGGATTATTTGTTTAGCATATAATGAAAAAGTATGTTAAAAAAGATGAAACTCTAATGTATACCTCTCTTAATTTTAAATCATGCAGTATCTCCTTATTTTATTTAGATGACTGCCTCTTGGTCTATGTACAGGTTCCACATGAGCACAATGAAATGTTTTAGAATTCCAGTTCTTCTCAGTATTATCTATAATTTGTTATGATCCACACAGTTGATGCTTTTGTATAGTCAAGAAACCATAGGTCAACCTCTTTCTGATATTCACTGTTTTCTGTCACAGTCCAGCTGACATCAGCAATAGTATTCCTCATTCTGTGTCCTTTTCTAAATCTAGCTTGAATTTCTGGCAGATTCCCATTTATGTACTTATACAACCATTTTCAGTCCAAGAAACCAAGAGACTAAGGTGTGCCAATCCAGGCCACAGTCTTTGCAATTATTTGCTATACATCAGAGAGCTGGGCAATGACTAAGGATGACAGAAGAAGAACCAATGCCTTTGAATTGAAATGCTGGAGAAGAGTCTTGAACATATCATGAACCTCCAAGAGAATGAACAGGTCTGTCTTGGGTAAAGTAAAACCAAATTTCTTCTTGGAGGCTAGGATTTTGAAGCTCCGTCTCACCTACTTTGGGCACGGGGACAGATGGGACTGGTCCTTGGAGAAGAACATCATGCTCAGAAGAGTGAGGGACAGTGCAGGAGAGGAAGACTCCAGATGAGATGGATTGACACAGTGACTGGAGTAATAAGGATTAGTTATATCAGAGTCAGTGAGACAGGCTCAGGATAGAGCAGGCTTCAGAACTCTTGTACAAAGAGTCTTTATGGTTCACAGGCAGCTTGATGGCACATAACAACAACCATTTTTAGATTTTT